TGGCAAAATCATCATCCCCCAGGACTAATCCATTCATCAGGATTTAATTCAAGCAATTCACTTAATCTTGGTTCCCCCGTGGAAAGACCTTATTTTATGCCAAAGGAAAGGTTGGGTCCTCCAGAACACTTTGGTCAACCTCCAGGGCTTGTGCCAAACAATCCAGGTACCATTAGGATGTCATTAAATCCCCCAATACCAGGAGGCCATCAGCCAGGATCTTTTGACACATTTTTGCTTCCAGTGGCTATCAACCAATCGCCATCTTCCCACATAGGCCGAGATCAAGCGACTGAATTCAAGGCTTCTTCATCCAGCTCAGAAAGTAAAACTGTAACAACACAAAGACAAGAATCAGATAAGGTATTGTTTCATCTTTTTTCATACGGTTTTAGGAGAAACTCAGATTTTGTTCTGGTTGAGTGTTTTTATGATAAATATGATTAGTTATGCTGAGTTGATGTGGTTCTTAACGTTTTGTTAGGCTCAGTCCAGTGATGTGGAATATTCTATACCTACGGTCCAGCTGCACAGACCATCTGTGAGTGTTACAACCCCATCATTCAACTACAGAGCACCCAATGAAGTTCACCCACAGTCCCCTTCATACTCAAAAGGCTGGTATCATAATATCAGCCATTGGCCCTCGCAGGGCTACCATCTCCATCCAAAACCCCACTCATCCGACAGTAGTCGTTTACCCATCATGCATATCTCTGTAGCCTCTTCCCAGGTAAAGTTTTTATATATTTAATAACACAAAGTTTATTTCGAGTTTTGAAATCATGATGAATGCTTTCTACCTTTCCAGTCTTATGCCAGGCTGGTCAGGCTAAGAGCTTTTCATTACTTGGTTGGATTGAGGATAGAAGATGACATAGCCAGCCTCGGCAACATGATTTTTTTTTTTTTTTTAAATCAATGATTTAGCATTATAAACAGACTTAATTGCCCTTTTTTCATCTTACTATTTAGCAATTTCTAAATTTAAAATGGTTTTTAAGGAAGACAGTAGGAAGACATGTCTTATTAACATGTTACTGTATGTTATTTAACACAGAAGTAAGGCAATTTAAGAGCACCTGTTGACTTACAAACAGGGAGAATTTGTTGCCACCTTTTGAGTTTGCAACACCTGTGAGGGACCAAGCAGCCAAAGCAAAGAGGACACAAGCAAAAATATCTTCAAAAAGGGTTTTCTTTATTTTAACCCTCAAAAAGTCCAAAATTAACAAAATTCAAAACCATACTTAGCAGGCCCATAAAACAGGTCAACTAAATATAACTCTACAAAAAGTAATTTCCAAAACTTAAACAACAAAGTGAGACACAACTTAACTCACAAACTGACCTAATTACAAAGACACATGAGGGTAGCTTTTATAATGATTTGGCCAAACCATTTGAACACAATAGGGGGGAAAACAAAAACACACACTAATATTAACTAAGCACAGAATAACCTAACTAAGCACAGAATAACCTAACTAAGCCTAAAACACCCCTGCTCCTGGTAAGCCCATGGTTGGTCCTGCTGAGCAGGCATTTTGTCCCCAGAGTCCTCAGCCACGCCTTTTGCCCAGACAGGAAACAGCCACCGCCCAAACCCAGGTAACTCAAAGAAAGAGAAACATAATTAATATAACAACACATTTTAGAAAAACCACACAATGTTACTATGTGCGCGCCTCATAATACCAGTGTTAGGTTTAACCAAATGATTAATGAAGAAAACTGCAAAGCAAACTAATAAAGTGAAAAATGGACTAATTTACCCCTGTGTGGCTGATGCCATCACACACCACCATAATATCTATTTTTTTAAACCTGAATCAGATATTAAAATATTTGTGAACAAAATCAATACTGAGACTAACTATGATTAAAATTTATGAAACTGGCAATAGTTGGAAGGTATTTAGCTGTTTTCACACATGAACTGTGGACATTGTCAAGAGATTAGATTTTTTTGATATGGGCTGGTGTAACCCAATCTCACATGTAGCACACAACAGGAGATTGTCTGCATCTCTTTGGTTCTTATTACTGTAAATATTATATATTTATATTACGTATATAAATATTACATTTGGTTTAGGCGAGGGGTGGCAGAGCATGGAAAGAAAACTGAGCACTCAGTTTCCATAAGACAAACTGGCTATTATTATAATTTTATAATTGACTTTATAAAATGGAGCTGGCAGGTTAAAGACAGTTGTTTTTTTTCCTGATTCAGCTGGTTTGATTATTTGTTTCTTTCTCATACAAGTTAATTGGGTATTGTCTAGAAAAGTTTAGCACCAGAGGGCATGCAGAAAACAGCTTTAAATAAGTTAAAGTGCATTTACTAGCTATTTATTAAGTCTGTTTATTTAAAGAAATAATTTCTGAACTGGTTGTCACTTGTTTTGTTTTTTATAAGATAAATTGCATAGCCACAATGTTATTGCTGTTCAAATATCACTTAAGTAGGTCACTAACTTTTTTTGTCTTTTTTTTTGCAGAGCCAGCAACAGGAGCAAACACCTTCAAGTGAAAAGTTAATTTCAGGTAATATTGTAATTTAAAGTAAATTCTAAACTTTCAGATAGGTTATGTTTGGCAGTATTGCTTGTTAAGTCCTGTAGCTTCAATACACTGAAAATATCACTGACCTGCAGGTAATGTGGGGGGGTATGAAAAGGGGGAAAAAAACAAAGCAAAATGCTTGGACACTGCTAGCACAGGGCGCCCACACAAACGCAAAACAGAAGATGAAGCATAGCTGAATATGTTTCCAAACCAACTTCATTCTAAGCCAAAGACTAGAAAATATGGTGAAGCATATCTTCCCTTTGGTTTCACCTGCACAAGTGCCGAGGTAGGTCTCCCCTGCAGAATTGGTTTTCCAATTGTGGGGAGCACGCACTGGGCTGTTCAAATTACGGACAAACAGTATCCCACATTCTTGATTTTTGGTTCACAAACACTTCTGATAATAACTAACTACTCCTGACATTTTGGAGATGTTAGCTCTTTATACAGTAAAGTTACAGTGGGATACAAATAATATCAGGCTGATCCTGCCACGATTTGTTCCCTGGGTTCAAATCTCGGACAAACAGTATCTCACAGTTGTTTATGTTTTTGAACTCATTTTGCACAGAGGCATTTTTTTGAAAAATGTATTGATAGCAATGTTGAACATTATTACACAGAAAAAAAACAACTACACGTAAAATAATTACATCGCGACGCCTCTGCCTTTGTAAATGGAGGGACAGTAACTGCGTGTGTGTATGTAAGCGTTTAAAAACTGCAGATAGTCAGATTAACAGTATTTTGTCTCTATCTGTCATTCTGCAATTCATCTCATGTAAACAACGTGGCGCACAGCGTGACGTGAAAAAAGGCACATACCTTTGACGTTGCATGACGAACTCTGTATTCCTCGTCCACACGTAAATACAAAAAAGGAGTTTTAAAAAAATCTGAGTTTTCAGTGATTCGAAACACCGTTTACGTGTGGACGAAACGGGTGCGTTTTCAAAAATACCCGTGTAGGTGTGAACGTAGCATAAAAGAGTTAGTAGTTTATTTTATTACTACCTGTAATTTTTTGCAGATTGCTTGCATTTGCTTAATTGTTTACTAAATGTTTGAGGTGTGAAATAAACCACAATGGAGCAAAATATGGGTGTGTGTGGTTGGAGGATGTGTTTGTGCGGGGGGTCCGAACATTTTTCTTGTAAAACAAAGGGGAGCCTAGCAAAAAAAGTTTCCGAACCACTGTCCTAAGTGATGAAAACAAATTGTACTAGGCTGACTGTATGGTTGGCATGCTGCAACAACGTTATTATTATTATCATTTGTACAACCCATAAAGTATTATCCCCGTCCTCTAAAATGTACACTTGGCATAAAGCAGTTAGGCAGGTAATTTTCACCTGGCATTCACCAAATCCAAACTTGTCTAATGGGTCAACTGGTCAACGGCCAGATAGAGAAATGTTATTTGTTATTCCAAAGAACATATTTCCACTGTTTCACGGTCCAGTGGTGCATGCTTTACATCACTCTGATTATTGGCAGTTTGCTTGATGACATAATGCTTTCATGTCATTAAAACCTATGCCATACTATCACACTCCAAACACACAGTACTTGTCCTGATGTTCATGTCAGATGAGGTTTTTAAAACTGTGAAGTTACTGAGAGTTGGCAACTTTAATGCACTATGTGCCTCAGCACCCACTCTCTAACTTTATGTGGTCTGTCACTTTGTGGTTGAGTTGCTCTGGTTTGTAAACGCCTACACTTTGCAATAGTCCTACTTACAGTTGATCATACAATATCTAGGAGGGAAGAAATATCCCCACCTGACTTGTTGCAGTGGTGGCATCCCATTACAACAGATGCTTGAATTCAGTGAGGTCTTTAGGTTGACTCATTCCTTCGCAAATGTTTGTCAAGGTAGACTGCATGGCTTGGTGCTTAAGTTTTTACACCTGTGGCAGGGATTGAAAACCTGAATTCAAAGTTTAAGAAGTATGGCTTTTAAAAAATCCCCTAATCCTGATCTGTTGTCACTATAATTTGTGCTTCAGATGTCCCTTTAGGAATTTCTTCATGCTTAAAACAAAAAATATCACCTACTCTTCTTTATTTTCATGTGACATATAGAGCTGCAGTAGATATTTTCATGATTGATTTGTTGGTTGATTTAAATGTTTAAAAAAAAAAAAAAGACTTTTTCATCTGAGCTGTAAAATATAATACCTGGGTGGGGGGGTGTCCATTGCATATGTGGTTTTGTCTGATTGCTATTTGTGACTCTAAAAAAAATAGTACATTTGAAAGCCTGGAATCATAAAATGTATAACCTTATCCTTTAAAAGAAATGATGAGTTTGTTATCCGAATAGCTGCCAGTAAATTTCTGCAGTTGCAGACTATCATTCTTTTGTGAATAGATTGAGGTACATTTATCTGATGTGGATAGTAAAACCCTTTTTAAGACAAAGTTAAAACTATCAAATTCTGGTCATTTTGTAGACATTAATGAACCCTCAATATTGTTCAAAAGAAAATATCATCTTTTTTTTTCCTTTCTCCAGCAGTGGACTTGAACTTCTCATCACACAAGAGGCGCAGCGAGTATGAATATGGTTCAGAGAATGCCAAGAAACCATGTACTCAAGGGGCAAACTCAAACAAAACGGAGACAACAAAACCCACTGTTCCCACTGCACTTGCGCCTCAGCCGTCAGTGATGCATTCTTCAGAGTCAGCAAACCAACACAAAACCACAGATGGCTATCTACTTACAGAACAGGCACGTGGACAGTCAGCATGCTCAGAGCTGTCATCTACTGTTGGATCTTCTCAGTCATGCTGCAAGTCATCATATCATAAAGAATGTACAGAGAAAATGACATCAACAGGTGCAAAGGAATCATTTATAAATTCTCAGAGTCATGTACCACAGTTAAAGGAAATGAGATCACATGTAAAGCCAAATGAGGGAAGTGTGAAAAAGACAAGCGAGCGAAAAAATAAAAGGGATAAATCAAGCACTTTGTTCAACTCTGATGTTCCTCAGAAGGACACTACTAGCTCTTCACCTGCTGAGTTAGGCAGTCACCACTCTGGTTTTTCTTCCAGTAGTAGCTCTGTCAAGACCCCGAAAAGAAGTAATCCCAGAGGAGAAAACAGAAAACTCAGCAGTAGCCCTCACAAATCAACCTCGAAACCAAATTCAAGCTCTTTGACTGGTCGGACAGGAGAGCGGAATAAAGCTTCTCGTTCACGAAGACCTGTAGCTTCTTATGACGCCAATGATCTTTTCACTCCTGATCCTGTGACTTACATTGTTAGCTCCTCAAATAAGACTGTAAAACCCAAGATAGATGGGGAAACAAGCAAAACAACAGAGAAAGGTTCATCCAGCATCGCAGGAAGCTCCAGCAACTCAATTACTGAGTCCTCTTGTGAGAAACATCAAAACTGCAAAATAACCGGTCCTCTTCTTGAAGCATCGTCCACTTTACCTAATCCACTAGGCAGTTTTCCAACTGTAACGTTAACACGGGTAAAACTGGAAAACTTAATACCACCTCCTCGAGATAAGGACACCAAAAACAGCCCCATCCCTTCTTCACACAGGCAGCTTAAGGGTGACCAAAATCCATCTCTCCTCTGCAAAAAAGTGAGTACAGGTGCTGTAGAGACTGACAGTGCTGCTGCTGAACAGACTTCTACCTCCAGTTATTGTCAGTCTCTACCACTGAAGGGGCAGGAAAGTAAAGGTGATAACAAGCAGATAAATGAAGAGGATCCCATAGATGTGGAGCTGGACTTGGGGCTGAGTTTTGCAGTAGATGTGGATCTAACCCAAAGCTCCCATAGCAGTGATGATGAGCAGCTACTTTCCTTGGAAGAGATGATGGAGCGTGCTACTAAACCTCCAGATACACCTGAGAAGGGAACATTCTCAGATCCTAGTCCACCTAGACGTCTGAGCTCTCAGTCAAAAAATGTAAGTAAAATGTCTTGGTCTTTGTTGTACGCAAAGTTGTTACTGTATAAAAATAAGCTTGCTGAGCTAAAGGACAGTAAAACTTTATTTGGATGTTAACTATCACATGTTGTTTTCCACAGCAACCATTTCAATCCACAACAAAGTCAGGCAATTACAAGAACAATCTTGACCAAATACTGAAGGAAATAAATAACAATAAAAAGTGAGTTGTTCATAAAGTTTCACTGCCGTTTCATTTCAAGAGCTACAGCATCTTCACGAAACTCTCTGCATTATTCACTAGATCAAAAGAGATTGAGAGACAACTGCTAACTGCATGTGAAGAGGACCTGTTGAAGATAGCTGAATATGAAGAAGCAGAGGAGAACCGAGAGGAGGGCATTTCTTCCGAACAACAGTAAGGCACACAAAGACATGCTGCCACTTTATATTTTGTCTCTGGGGAACCGTGTTTTCACTGTAGTTAGCTAAATTGTGAACTGCTCGAATTTGTTTACCAGGGAATTCTTGCAGCGGTATTCATTGATGTCTGCTGCAATCAAAGAAGTCCCTCCAGGAGAAGAAGTGTTCAACCTGGAGAAGTTTGGTCAGATCTTTGACCAGGATACATTACAGCTCAGGCAGTGCCTGGTCAATCCACAGGGAACAGCACAAAAAACTCTTCTGTGGTGAGCTGAATTTCTGTGTGTAAAAATGAAAGGGCAACATTTGTTGTACTTTTGTACTAAAAATTAGATATATGTAAGTAATTATTGTTTGGAGTGCATGATTTTTTGATGATTTTAAACCTTTGCCCAAATACTGCATTAGCAACAATTGTTCATCTATAATTTCTTTAAAGTTGTCTTGAATACTAATTGGACAAATTACATTGAATTAACCTCTGGGGGCATTTTTGTTGCCTCAGCTTTAAAGGGTAAACTGGTCTTCCAATTCAGCTAGAAACTTAGCAGAGAAGCCCAGACTTCCCTCTCCCTGGCCACCTCCTTCAGCTTTTCCAGGGTAACACAGAGGTATTCTCAAGCCAGCCAAGAGATATAAGCCCTTCAGCATGTCCTGGGTCTGCCCCGTGGCCTCCTCCTGGTTGGACATGCCTGGAACACCTCACCCAGGAGGTGTCCTTGTCAGATGCCCAAACTGCCTTAACTGGCTCCTTTCGATGTGGAGGAGAAGCAGCTGTATTCTGAGGTCCTCTCAGATGGCTGACCACCTCACCTTATCTCTAAGGGAGAGGTTAGCCACCCTTCAGAGAAAGCTCATTTCTGCTGCTTGTATCCGTGATCTCATTCTTTCCATCACTATCCAAAGCTGCAGCACCAGTCTGTTGATCGCCTACTCCCCTCACTCGTGAAAAAGACCCCAAGATACTTTATTTTTCTTTATTGGATAGATGCAGTGAAGGCTGACAGGAAATCGGAGGGAAAGAGAGAGGGGGAGACATGCGGCAAAGGGCCACGGGTCGGACTCGAACCCGGGCCGGCCGCTCTCAGCCATGTGGTATATGGTCGCCTGCTCATCCAACTATAATAATCCAACTAGATACTTAAACTCCTCCACTTGGGGCAGTAACTCGTCCCTGTCCCGGAGGGAGCACTCCACCCTTTTTGGGGTGAGGACATTGGCCTGATTGTGCTGACTTGCATTCCCACCGCATCACACTTGGCTACATACTGCTCCAGTGCCACCACCTGATGAAGCCAACAGAACCGTGTCATGAAAAGCAGAGACAGGGTTTTGAGACCACCCAAGTGGAAGCCTTCTACCATTTGATTACACCTAGAAATTCTGTCCATAAAAATTATAAACCGAATCGATCCAAAACCCACCAAGAATGAGTCCGACTTGTTGCCGGCTATACGGACCAAGCTCCTGAAATGGTTATTTAAGGATTGAATGGCTCGTAGCAACTGGTCAGACACCCCTATACTCCTGCAGTACCTCCCACAGAACATCCTCAGGGACCCAGTCGAATGCATGTAGACTGGTTGATTTTCTGACTGACTGACTGAAATTTTATGTCAGCAACCATGTAAATCTACCTCTACTTAAACAGAGGTTTTATGAGTCCTGCATAGTGTATCATGAACAGAGGATTCACAGTCTCTTGAAAATAAACTGTTAAGTGGGTCCCAAAAGTCACCAGATCTATTTGCAAAAAACAATAACAAAAATGCACAAAGTTAGCAACACTGAAGTTAATAATGGTAGGAGGAGTAGGCATGTGGGAATGATGATGGTAGGGTATGATGTGGAGGGTTAGGGAACATGTGGAAGCCTAACCACTGGTCATTGTAGGACAGCTACACAGAGCAGATAGTGAGAGCTCTCATCAATAAGAAGCTTCTATGAGACTCGTTGTTTCTTGGCTGGAGAGTGAAGTGTAGCCTTAAGAATCACTCAAAGATCATTTATGGCCCTTTGAGAGCTTGTGTGTGCTTATTGTAGCTGAGCAAGAGACTCTTCGGTGTGTAACTGTTGGGAGGAGTGTTACAGTCTGTCTGTTGAACTATATAAAATATAGTTAGCAGTGAGCTCGTGTGTAATTTACTGAGATTTATAGAGTGTGTTTTCTTTATGTATGATGTTGTTTTTTGGGTTTCAGGTACGCTTATTAATCTTGCTACTTTTGATAATTTATAATATTATTATTAGTATTAATATGTGTTCACAGTCTCTTCCTGAGAGTGAGGAATATGGCTTATTAATTTAATACTGAATATTGAATCAGTACTGTATCACAGATACCCAAACCCATGATATGGTTATGGAATTCAGAAAAAGTTGTATTGGTGCATCCCTATTGATAGTTCAGCTTTCTGTAAGAAGTAAACATCCAATAACACTGCAGCTATGGGCATTCGTTCAGTGTGACTATTACTGGGCTCTGTGCTAATTTTAGTTTTATATATTAATGACATTTTTCAAACACTGCTTTTGACCTCCAGTGGACATCACGGATGCTTTTATTATCAGCCGGTTTGACTGTAGGATAACTCTAGTGCATGCTGTTTGTTCCCCCAAAAAACAAAGATATGAGGAATCTTCAGAAGCATGGGAGATATTTTTGAAGTATGCACTAAGTTAGCAACTTGAATAAGGTCAGGTAGAGGGCCATTTTTGGAAGTGTCAAGTTCTTCTGAGTCCCTCTGTGTTGGCTTTTTAAATTTTAAACACCAAATTATTTGCATAAATTACTCATTAGTCTGGGGGAACTCCAAACCAAATACTTCCTTTTCCTGCATAAACACCAAGAATCTGATAACAAATTTTGACAATAACATACAGAAAGGAATCTGTCTTGTATACCAATAGCATTAAAAAAATACACAAGTTTAAATTAAGACCTGGAACATTGGTCTTAGCTTATTATATTTTTTACAGCAGCTTTACTCTGTGCTTGATGTTTATTAGATTTGTCAATAGTGTGCACTGTACTTCAGAGTGGCGTGACAACCTTTGAACGAAAGGCTTTTTTTGTACATATCCTAAGGCCTCAACGTACCTTTTTCATAATCTAATATGGAGCCTTCTGATAAACTTCACTGAGGACATTTTACTCTCAGGGTAATGAACAACAAGTTAGGTCTTGTCAGGAGAAACTACAGTTTGACCTGAAGGCACTTAGTAAAAAGGTAAATTAGCACAGTTAGTCCTATCCAACACACTGCACTCAGGGATGTATTTAAGTTTGCACACTCATTTTCAACTCTTAGTTTTCCTAAATAATGAATAACTTTGATCTTTCTCTCCACTTACACTCTCCTGCTTTACATCAGGTCCAGCCCAGCTCAGCTGCGATTGCATGTGAATATCGGATTGTTTCAGGAAGCTTATGACTCTAGCTCACCCTGTCCAGCTCAGGTTACCCGTTTCCTTTTCAAGGTAGGTCTGACACACACCCGCACTGTGTTTGTTGTACAAATGTTTAAGCTTGGGCAGTAATTCTTTGTCGATCTCATCAGATGATGTCAGTCCATAGTGAGAGGATGATATCTGAGAAGTTGCTACAGGCCCTCTGTGATATTGCATTGACTGCTGCTTATCAAATAGGTCAGTGCTGTCCTTCCTAAGCTTTTGGTAGTTTGTCTTTAAAATGTACATAGTGTTGAAGTTCTTGGTGTGAATACTTCCACAGTGAAATATGGAAACCAGCAGTTTAAAGTGTGGGTTCCCAGTTTATCTGACGTGACGCTGGTCCTGATGAACATGGGAGTGCCGTTTGTTAAACTCTTCCCTTATGAGAATCTGCAACCTCCATTCACAGAAGGAGATCTGCTGTGAGTGTCATCACCATATGACTCGCTCATTCCTTTTGTTACCTTCTATATAAAACTATAACACGTGAGCTGAAAGTTGTTTATTTGGTCACTTTTTAATTTAAAGGAGTTGAATTTTTCTGTGTTTCTGCAGGGAGGACGTCTACATCAAAAGTGATAGTCCTACCCACAACAAGGAAGAGACCACTTTCCCTGAACACAACTGCAGTACTGTTTTAAAGGTAGTAGACAATAAATGGCTGATGACGTTTGAGAGCTTAGCAGATTGAGTACAACTCCACCACTCATTGTTTTGTTTTTTAATCTTGTTTATAGTACCTGTCTTACTGCATGGGTCTGTGCCCACGTGCATACAGCGACAATGAGCTGCTGTTGATCCTTACTGTAATGAGTCACATCGGCCTGGAAACGCGTCTCATCCTCGAGTCGAGTGTGGCACTGGAGCCTCTGCTGTGTAAAATTGTCAACAACATCAGGGATTGGGACGCTCTGGTCAGTGCATAAATGTCATTGTCTGGCACTTTATTTCCTCACATTTCAGTTTGGCACATTAAAGCAAACAGTTTTCTTGTAGCTGTTGTGTTTAATCATCCCCTAAGTGGTGTATAGTATGGTTGTTCCTTATGAAGACATGTAATTAATCTGCTTTAGAATATTAACACGTTCTAACAATTAGCTCAGTTTTCTCATTTTATACTCTTTACATTGACTAACAACAGATTTTAGGATTTGTTTCATAATTCTTGCATTAAATACAAAGTACTAAACGACCAAGCTCCAGATTATTAATCTCAGCTTCTTGGCTTGTATGGCTTTAAAAACTTTATTTACTTGCTTTATGTCTTTAGCTGCCAAAAATCTGCCTGGCTCTCACTGATTTGACAGATGATCACCACAACATGTGCCTATTAGTTCATCTCCTGCCTGACAACATTCGTGGAAAGTGAGTCTTTTTATCCTTCTTCTTTTTTCACTATCTACTCATATATACTTAATTTCTAGATATACTGATTTTCTGATTATTGTGTTTATCTGATTCTGATTTATTTATGCATTTATATACACAGCTGAATCTAAGAAATTTGTCAGCCAGCAGTTGATGGAAGTGAAAATGAAAGGGCTTAGATACTTCATGTATCAGCATGTCTTGTTTTGCTTGTGATATTCACAAGATTTACCATCCCATAATACAGCACTATAACCTACTATGCTCTGAGCTACAGAATAGCATGAAGACATGTAAAAGTGAAATAAAGCCAGTATGAAAACAAATACTTTCAGAATTTTGTGATTTATTAATTTTTTTGATTTTTTTCACAATACCATACCATTAAAAAGAAAAATGTTCTTTTTATGTTTGTTTTATTTGGACAGAGAGTTGCGCCGACATCTAAGCCTGTGCATGATTTCTAAGTTGTTGGATGGAAATTGCAAATACAAACCTGTGGAAAGAGAATTTCAGGTAATTGGGTTAACTTGTAACCTTGGCAGTTTCCTTTAAACCCAGCGCTTGAAACACTTCTCACATGTAATTTTAAATTATGTACCGGTACATTAATCCACTCATCCTCAGGGTCGTGGGGAATTTGAAGCCTATATGCACAATAAATATGTAAATCAATTTAATTAATAGAGTTTGGTTTTTGTTTGGTATTTAGCTCTCTGAACTGAGGCCATACCTTCCTCGCATGCAACCTTCCTCCCTTTTCCGACACATGACGAGCTCTTCTGGAATGAACCAGAAAGATAAAGAAGAAGACCTGGGCACACTAGACCAGCAGGTGATCATTTTGTTACAGTCTGAATTGCAAAATGTTCCAACCTTGACTTGTTTTACATCCATAATAACACCTGGACATCATTTTGAAAATGATTTTTCTGACCCAAGATCCTTTTATCATTTCTTCCAGTCCTACTACCTGTGCTATAGCCTTCTGACATTAGCAAATGAAGCATCCAACTTTCAGTTTTTTCCCGCTCACCAAAAGGTAAATTCTTTTTTCCAGTCTTATCTGATTTTTAGATGTTATTGGCCTGATTTTGATTGAATGTTTAAACCCTTTCCTTTTTTTTCTGTCCCTCAGAAGCAGCTGCTGTTTTTGTCAACTGAGCTGGAAACGCATGTTAAATGTGACATCAGGGAGAGTGAAAAATGTCTTTATCGCAGCAAGGTAAGCATGATTTAACAAGTGTGTGTTTGTGTGTGTGTTTTTCTGCAATTCACAAAATAAAATCTACAATACTTTTAACCAAATATGGGAGCCGCTGGTCCAGGCCTATGCTGCTCAAAACTATTTTGAATGTTAATGACTTGACTAGTCATTCGCCAGTAGCTTGTTAGCAGTAACACTAAGCAGACAGAATATCAGTTATTACCTCTCAGCTGTAAAAGGCTTTTTTAATCGACATTATGAGCAGGTGGGTAGACACTTAACTTTTTAAATGCGATAACTCAAAAACGGGGCAACATAGAAGCTTCAAATTGATACCAGAGAACAAGGTGACATCGGATTTAGAAATTGATACAATAGGTGTGTCTACTAGGACATAGAAGGGAAGCACTGGTGGTTGCCAGCATTTTTGCATCTTTGTCATCAGATTCAACTTGTTTTAGATTGACCTGAGATCACAAGTAAATCTGGTGCTTTTCCCCCCATGTATTTAAGTTCCTAATTTGAAAAACTTACCCCACAGTTAATGCGTTAGGAGTTTTCTCTTTCCTCCTAATGGCAGCCTTTTCTCCAAAATTAAATGTTTCAAGTTCAGTTCATAGATAACACTGTACACAGATCTGTTAGTCAAGATATCAAAACTGCTTAATAGCATTTCACAGATTAGCAAACAGTATAGATGAGGCTAGACCTAATAGACAGTTGTAATATATTTCCAGATTAGGAACCCGTTTAACTTGCTGAAACTCTATGCCAGAGACATCTGTACTACTTTATATTTATATTAAATATATTCATATGAATCATCAGAAATATCAACAAATCATTGCAAGTTTCTTTTCAGAGGTTCTGATAAATGACATTTTTAGTGTGCTACATAAACCTGTATGAGAACTCTTGCCTTCCTCTTCTTTCTCCAGGTGAAGGATCTGGTGGCGAGGATCTACACCAAGTGGCAGATGCTCCTTCAGAGGACAAGGCCTCTCGATGTACAGTATTCACACACATTATTTAAATAATTTCTTTACAGGATGTGTTTACTTTGTGTCTTAAAAGATAATTTTATAATCTTATTGGCTATGCTGGTCTTTTCCCTTCTCTAGGATAAACTGTATGATTATTGGCAGCCTGGGGATACTTTGGGGTACAGCCAGGAGGAGCAGGAGGATGAAGATGACACTGCAGAAGAGGAGACTGTGGTGGAAGAAGAAGTAGAGGGGGATGAAGAGGAAGATGGAGAAACAACTTTAACTGAACAGAATGAAGCTGTCATGGTTGCTGAGGGAAAAAAAGATGCCAGGGTGGAGCCAGAAGAAGACACGAAACTTGGTGAGACAGAAAAAGACACAAATGTTATTGCAGCAGAAGAAGGCATGACATTTGGTGAACAAGAAGATATGAACACTGCAGAGACGGAGGAAGACATGAATATTGATGAGGTGCTAATGGAGGAAGATGGTATCCCAAGTGACATAAGCAAAACAGAAGAGGAAAAAGAAACGGTACCTGGGAATTTAAACCAAGTAGTGCCTGAGACGGATCCTCAAGCACCCTTGGAGTCTGAGGGAGTGGATGAGCAAGTGGCTGCTCCCAACATAGGGCATGTTGATGAGGACACTGAGATTGAAGAAAGAAAAGGAACACACCCGGCACCAACAGCTGGTTTATTCTGATAGAGATGATCAGTTTTCAAGGCTTTAACAGCCATTGCCTTATGTTATGCTGAATTTGCACTATTTACCAGACCTCTTTTCCTAATTCCAAAAGGTTTGAGACTTTCACAGTGATTTTAAGGCAAACTGTGTATTTACCTCAGTCAGTGAGGTTATGTTTTTGTCGCTTTTTTTGTCTGTTGGCACATTTAGGCACAAGCTTCCAGGCTGATATATTTTTATGAAAGTTTGTGGAAAGATGGAGCATTGGTATATTAAAAAATTCATCGTTTTGTTGTTTTTTTGACTGCTGCATGTGTGCACATTGTTGTTTTATTGTTAAGTGGCCAAATATGGAAAATAAACTTTAAGTTAAATTAATTTCTTGTCTCCATAAGCAGCGCCAGACAAAATGTCCACCCACCAGTGTTTACAGTACTATTGTGTTAGTGATAATCTTTCTAATATGCAGAAAAGTAACAGTGAGAGGATTTGTGGAAATATCCATGACTTGCTATTGTAGCAACAGATTAATGACATTTTTTCATATTTTGGCTAAACGTTAGGCAGCTTGTGAAGTACCAAGGAAGTAGATTGGTTCACACATTTATTTATTTTTTTGGTCTCAAGTAATGTTTATTGTATTAAGTGTCACCCATGTATGCATTTTTGTTTTGCTTCCACGGAACCACTTTCTTGGAATTTTTTTTAATATCACTTTGTTACCAGCAGCATATTACAAAAACACATCCTTTTTTCACAATTATTTAGTTGGAACCATGAAAAATGCCAAAAATAAACACATTTTCACGGGCATAAAAGAGTGCTATTTGGCACCATTAAAGTGCTGCCAAATGGTATGCACTGTCCTTTAAAATTCTGGACAAATGTTGGACAAAAAAAATGTTAGGAAGAAAGTGTACTCCACGTAAACAAAATCTTAAAGTCATGTTCTTAAGAAAAAGGAAAACATTCAACGAGAGATGTATCTGGCCCCTCAGTTGATCCATTTACTCATCAGAGTGAGCTCTCATCAGAGATGGTCTTGTCCAAATTGGTCTAATTAATAACACAGAAAGGTACAGTCAGAAACTCCATGCAATACTATCTACAAAGCATCAGATTGGTAGTTGCATCATTTTTCAGCATGACAATAATCCCAAACAGTGCAGTAAAAGCACAGATGGATGGAAAAATGCACAAAAGAACGATCATAGATTGGCCTCCCCAGAGCCCGGACCTTAACATTGAAGCAGTGTTGGATCATTTTGACAGATAATGGAAGAAAAGTCAGTCAACATCTAAAGAAGAGCTTTGAATGTCCTTCAAGAAGCCCGGATAGTTATTCTTGAGGACTACTCAAAGAAATTACTACAAAGCTTGCCTATGAGAGTTCAGGCTGTGCTGAAGAATGAAGGTGGTTGTACTAAATATTGACCTTCATCTTTGGCTTTTGTATAAACTGTTTTTACCTTGTGTAACGTAGTTCCATGTATGTTCGCCTATGTTTAAATAAATTACATGTATATCCCATTTTCACAGTGAAATAAAATTAAAAGACTTTTGTACAGCATTTTAGTTTAATTTTATATAAGCAGTATTCACAAATTTCTTTTATTGTCAGAATTATCATGGTCAAATATTAATCTAATCAAATATAGAACTTGTGTAAAGGTGTAAATCAGTGGGTTAATTTTAAGGTGTGCTTTAGATTAGGTACATGCATCAGTAAAACTCTGAAGACATTTGCTTTGAAAAATGTCAGTTTTAGTAATTGGTTTAGCTGCAAATTACCACAAAAGATAACAGTCTTTTCTGCATGGTGTTTATAGAAAAGATATTCATATTAGTAAACTGTACATGCTTTGTTACTGACCTTTAGAGGGCACTGTCCTCCATCTAGACTCATGGTTCTCAAATAAACACAGGAGAACGGGAGCTCCTTGTAATATTATCTGTCCCGGAAATGCTATAAAAAAGACTAAGCACCCACATACATGGCAAACAAGAGATGAAGCAGCAGAGTGAGACCAAATGAGCCCTTGTTTTTAGTTAGTTTTTTTTTTAAATCTGTTATAGCTGATCACAGCTGGTGTCAAGAAGTGCCACGTAACTCACGCAGCCACATTACCAAGCATTTCATGCGTACCTCAATCTTTTCATCAATGGGTCAAGAATATCAGCGGTCTGAGCACTTTTATTTGCTATAGCAAATAAAACTAATAAGAAAAAAGTAAATTATTTGCCTTTGCAACATGATACTCATATGAGGTTGGTAAGATTTTACAAAATAGGCCTTCTTTAGTTGTTTAAGACGAAGAAAAAGTCTGAAACGAACCGATTACTCATAAAATGTGATCTAATCTTGTGCGCCACCCCCCTGTCCATGACATGCACAGTTGGTGTTTGGAAAGGCTTTAGCCATGTTTTTTTGTTTTGTTTGTTTGTTTGTTTGTTTGTTTGTTTGTTTGTTTGTTTGTTTGTTTGGTTGGTTGGTTGGTTGGTTGGTTGGTTGGTTGGTTGGTTGTTTTTGGGGGGGGGGGGGGGGTATTTGGTCTTGTTGTAATTTCAATAACAGATAAATGTATTCGGTTTTGCTTTCGTTTTTTGTTAACAGCTGACACGTGAATGAAGAGTTTTGCTTTGCCGTTACTTTATTGTTCTCTCTCGCTCTCGTTTATATATATCGGATTTCTTCTGGCATTCAATAACCTATGTATTTTAAATAAAACGCAACACTAACATGAATGAGATGCAGCGACAACCACACCAGTCACCCAACGCGGAAAGCCAGCCGTTTGGTCTGTTCCACTCCGCCCCACTTTCACTATGTTGCTGGGCAACGACAGTCAGGTGACTGTCTGCAGACAGAATATGGCTGACCTGTCAGAAGACCAATGAGGGAAAGGCCAAATTTTGCATAATCGATCTTATTTTCCTCGTCGTTTCTGACAACACTTGACCGTCTTAGAAAGCATTTATCCAGAGGTCGTCAAGGTAAGCTCGGGAGTGCGTGGTTTTTGTCTGTGTGTGTGTCACTCTCGTTAGCTCGGAACAGCAGCAACCACCGTTGGTGTTGGCTAGCTAAGTTAAGCTAGCTGTTAGCCAAACAGTCTGCGCTTTCTCTACCAAGAAAGAAATTCTAGTTACAAGAAATGACATTTAGGCAACTCTGTGGATTCTTCAAGCTTCCTTCCGGAAACTTGTAACACTATTGCAGAACATGTTGTGTCGAAGGATATTAGTAGAATGATAAAAGTTAAAAGAGGAAGTTATAAGTTAGAATTGCATTCATCGTGTTGCATTTCAGGCGCATATTTAAAGCAGTCAGTATCTGTATGCACACGCACATGCACAGACAGTCCTCCCATGAAAACTTTTAAATCTATATTTGGATAAGGTCTCCAGAAAAGTAATCTGTTCCGATTTACTCAGACGTAATGACCGCTGTAAGTTTTTGGTTTGCTTTGTTGTGGCTTAATTGGCTCAAAGGTCTTGGATTAGAATAGGTACTTGCATCACATTCAAACCACTCGTAGCTAAAGCGAGTAGCGGTGACTATCTCGTTACAATTAAATGTTTTTTCTGGCTAGGCTAGTCTAGCTATGTTAGTACAAATGCTGTATAAGCACCTGCTGCATACAGAGCTATTAAACATGGAGTTGTATTATAAGGACTTGCGACGCTCTGTGATAATTTCATTTCATGCGCATTTTTTTCCAATTACTGTTTAAGTAAAAAAAAAAAAACACACATACGTGCATACAGCAGCACTTGGAATGGATCTCTAGCATCAGCTATGCACTTCTATTACCAGCGAACTGTGGCCAACCAACATTGGGCTCTTCCCGCAGCGGAAAAGTGGTGTTTGTATCCACAATATACAAGCGTCACACCACAGGAGGAAAGTAGCTGACCTCTGGAGAATAGGCACATAACACTGTAGTAGTAGTAGTGACATACCCACAGTTGTTTTCAGTGGAGAGTTTTAAACCTTTGACCAGAGTTCATGCTGGCTGTTTAGCTGTGGGAGGCATCATGTGGGTTTTTTATTTGGCCATGCCGATGTCCTTGACTCTGATCTGGAGTGCCACAGTCCTGCCAAAGACCGCATTGTTTGTGTTAACTGTTGTAATTTCTTTTGATCTCAGAGCAGTGAGATTAATTACTGATATTGTACAGTTTTGCACTCAAAATTTATAGGTTAATTATTAACAGATTTGTCTGTTTGATACAATGTTCCAAGCTTATTGGGTCACCTTAAATGTAGAGAATATGACAAACTGGTCCTCAGTTCCTACTTTATCTCTGTGATATGAATAGTTTTTTCAGTGTCTGAAGACTTGTTGGTAAGGGGAAAGTTGTTTCTGGATGATGCACTTACAAAAACTACAAAAAAAACCCCTAAAATATTTAAAAGCTATTTTCATCACCAAGCTTTGACATTCAATGCATTTGTTCAAAACAAGCTCAAATAAAAATTGAATCATTGTAGGCAAACCTTCATTTTATTTGAGGTTTTATTTATTTATTTTTTTACCATTGGGGTTTCAGAGGCATTTAAGGGCTCGTATGAATTATTAAATCCATTAACAGAAGCACGTGATCTGGTTGCAGATGAGTGGGTTGCCGGAGGGAATGGCAAATGGCCCAAGCAGGAGTGAACACTTAGAGAAAGATGCTCAGATTTGGGAGAGACCCTGGACTCTTGAAGAGATGCGACAAAACGGCGCCAACTGGTCCTTAGCAGCTGACTCAGGGGTAAGTCAGGAAGATCCTCCCCAGCTCTGAAATGGAGCAAAGAAACAGAAGATGTATGTTCTGTTTGGTGAATTGAAAGTCATCCTGCAAGCTATCCTGTCTTAATAATGTCTAACAATTTCCTTTTCTTTACAGCTCTTCCTCTTTCTTCAAGATTTCTCACAGAGAATGCTGTCAAAGACACACGAGATTGAAAAGCAACTGGACAGTCTGATCCGTGACACCAAGACCACAGACAGCTGCTTGCACTCTGTCTTTAATGACTTTTTGATGCTGTCCAACACACAGTTTATAGAAAATGTAATGCATAGCTTTTAAACATTTACACTGCAATTCCTTCTTTATAGCTTAGCTGTGTCTGTACATTATGATAACTCACACAACTTATTGATGCACTATTGGAGCCATGAGTGATCCAAGGTCTCTTTTGGTGAAGTTTACACGATGTAATCTGTCTTTTAACTTTATGTCCTGTTTCAGAGAGTGTATGATGAAGAAGTAGAAGAGACTGTACCCAAGGCTGAGGCTTCAGAAAAGAAGCCTCAGCAGGTACGTTAAGAAATTCAGCACCTGTTACTCGTATTTCTTGAACTATTCCCATAACTGTGATTATGTGTGGT